TGAAGACCAGAAGAGGGTGCTGGATCCCCTGGTACTGGAGTTCTGAGCAGTTGTGAGCTCTCATGTAGGTGCTGGGACAGATCCAGGGGCCTCTGCAAAAGCAGCCAGTGCTCTTAACCGCTGAGCCATCTCTCCAGCCTGCCTCCCCCATAAGCTGGCCTTAAAGACTTTTTTATGCAATGACGGTTTGGAATCAGTAATGGGTAGACACTGGGCTCTGCTTCTAGAGCAGTGAGTGAGTCTGTGCTGTGTCTAGTGGAGTCGATCCTATTTCTTCAGTCTGGGAAGGCTTCCTCAACTAGGACTTGGGGCATCTTGGCTCTGACAGTCTGATGAGCAACAGGTCCAAGGGAGGGCTGTGAGCAAACCTGCTGATGGCCTGACGGCCAGGCTGCTACACAGGCCTGAACAGCAGGATGTGGGTCCTGCAGGGCCCTGAACTTAACCACCTACTACATCCAGGGCTATTCCTTTCCCCAGGCTTGTGGGGTGCAACCTCCTGGCTCTTGCTAACTATGATTCTAGGCATTGCATCTGCATGGAGTAGCAACCCTCAACCCCAGAGACCTGTGGCATCCATGAAATTGGTGTTTCCCAAGGGCTACCTTCCTGTTGCCAGCATGCTGAGCCAACACTGCAGAGAACAAGTTGCTTCCTGCCAAGTCTAATCACAGGTGTCTCATTTCGTTTCAGGATGTGGTTAGAACCTTGAGGAACTGCAGGTTCCAGAGAGAGAGAACACTTTAGACAGCCAGACTGGATCCAGAGAGCAGATGCTCCAGAGAGCTTCAGTTTAGCCCAAGGTCTCTTTCTCCAGAGAAAATAAAAGGAGGAAAGGTGTCCGCCTCTTCAAGGGACCACAGGTGGCGCCTGGATGAGGGTGCTGGAGTGACCGGTGACTCCAGGAGGCCTTCCTGGAGGAGGTGAGTCCTGGCCTGGCTCTGGCTAGTCATCACAGTGTTACCATGCCTATGTCTCCAGCTGTGCCCACTCTCATGCTGGAGTGGGAAGTAAACAGAAATCTGCCAAAGAATACAGGCTACAGGGTAGCTCAACAGATCTGCCCCAGTCTCAGAGTTCAGTCTGCTCTTGACAGTATCCAGACTGAGGTCTGTAGCTAAGCAGAGCCCCCTGGAACCTGGCCCTCAGCAATAGCTCAGTCCCTGGGAAGGAGCCTCCACACACAACCCTGCTTCTCTACTTGAAGCCTTTGTGAGACCTATAGGGAACTCTGTATTTCGAGGTTGTCTGTGCTGTGTGCTACCTTTTACTTTCAGTAACTTGAATAGGCAGTGCCGTGTAGGCTCACAGTGCCAGACTGCATTCTGTGCTCACTCCTCCCCTGCCTCCCCTGTGGAACCACCTTGTCCGCTTAATTTTATTTCCTTTTTTAAAATTTGTTTTTATTTTATGCATATGAGTGTTTTGCCTGCATGTATGCCTGTGTACCACTTGGGTCTCTTGTGCCTGCCTGTGAGGCCAGAAGAGAGCGTCAGATCTCCTGGAACTGGAGTTACAGCAGTTGTGAGGTGTCATGTGGGTGCTGGAATTGAACCCAGGTCTTCAGAGCACATAATGCTCTTAACTGCTGAGTTGTTTCCCCAGGACCCTCCTCCCACTTCCTGCTCTGTAGGAAGACCTTCACATCCCTTGGGGAAAGGAGTTGAGTCTCACACCCCATTGTATACCTTTGCGTCCCACCCTAAGACCCAAAGAGATTTTGCTGGTGCCACCTCTGCCATCGGCATGGCTGCTCCCTGGGTCGGATAGCCAGGTCCCTCTTACCTGATCATCACCTCACTGCCCACTAGCTAACATATTCCTCCTCCTAGAAAATCCTTCCTGGAAAATTGCTCCTCATTTCTCAAGGGCAAAGAGCATAAGGACTGCTGCTAGGCTTCAGCCCCTCCTCCAGCCATCTTCTGCTGCTCCTATCTGACCTCCTGTTCCCGCCGTCCTGGGCAGCTGTTCTCTGATTGGTCATTCTGTTTTGGCCTTTGATGATGCTCTTTGCTTGAAATATGTTCAGCTCGTTCAGACAACTGAGGAAAACTAGGTGCCCAGCCCAAGCCTGTCCCCCTATATGATGTTTTGGCCTTTCTCTATTTGCCATGTCCTATATACTCCTCCTTCCATCCGAGGATACCCCTCTTACGCTCCCTTCTTGCTCCATAATCTCTGGAATCTGATTAACTGCACCCTCCCTGAGGGGAGGCCTTACCCATCCCAGCCCTGCCAGAGCCCCTGGCACATAGCAAGTCTTCCACTCATCAACAGAATCAATAAAGGCCTCTCATATCCTAGATAACCCTTAATACAAAGCAGGAATTTAAAAAGATGTATCTGTGTTGTGGGTGTGGGTGTTTGGGTTGCTTGTATGAACGTGCACCATATGCATGCAATGCCCTTGGAGGTCAGAAGAGGGTGCTGGATCCCCTGGAACGAGTTGCAGGTAGTTGTCAGCTGCCATGTTGTGTTGGTAACTAAACCCAGGTCCTATGCAAGAGCAGCTGAGCCATCTCTGCAGCCTCGGAATAAAGATTTTTTCTCATTTGATTTTTGATAATGCTGTGAAAGAAACCACCTGTCTCCTCAGCACAGACCTGAGTTTGCTGGCCATTGAGCCCACGCTGTCCATGCACTTATTCTCCACATACAAGGGACTCCCAACACCAGGCTTCACACGGGCAGGACACACTGTGGCGTTAACTAACAGCACTAAACATCTCAAGCAGTCACTTGTTTTTTTCTTCATACTAGATCAAACAGGTTTACTGTGTGTACTATGAGGAAGGGGGAAAGGTGTGTGGGGGGTAACTATCATGCTACCAGCCCAGAATCACTTTTAGGCAAGGCATGCAAGGTGTGATGAGGTGGCTTTGGGCAAAGAACAGATGCCTGGGGGCAATTGCTGGGAAACTGCATGGGGCCTTATTCACTACAACAATAGAAGTACTTGAGGTCTTAGGAAATGACATGAACCCTGCTGTAGATTTTACATGCATCACCTAACTTAATCCTCCACACAGTCCCAGCTGGGTGTTAGTGACACCTAGTTCATAGATGAGAAAATCAAGGCTTAGTGGGATAAAGTAAATCTCCCAAGGGTCACACGTGGCTAATGGTAAACTAGTTTTTAAAAGCTGCCTGGGCACACTGATAAGACTGCCAAACTTCTGAGAAATACTTCCTTTTCTCCCTTAATCCTGTACCAACTGTAGAGATAGGGGCTCCTCTAAAGGGCGGATTGAGCCTGAGGCCATGTCTCTTGCTACCAGCATCTATTGGCTAGTGATCTTTATCTCAGCTTCACTTCCATAGGAGTACTTCATACTCATCCTCTGACTGGAGTGCTGCCTGGCACACTACCCCTCTCCCCTCCTCTACCTTCATGCCTAGTCCTGCCTGGAAGGTGTTGTCATAGAATAGAATCTTAGAGTGAAAACAACAACAAAATTTCCTCTAGAATTAGCTTGTGGGAGCTGAGGCAGGAGATCATGGGTTTGGGACCAAAGAGCTACATAGTGAAACCCTGTCAAAAAATAAGATAATTGCCAGACAGTAGAGGAACACGCCTTTAATTCCAGCACTCAGGAGGCAGAGGCAGGTGAATCTCTGTGAGTTCGAGGCCAGCCTGGTCTACAGAGGGAGGTCAGGACAGCCAGGGCTACACAGAGAAACCCTGTTTCAAAAACACAATATATATATATATATATGTATGTATGTATGTATGTATGTATGTATGCATATGTATATGTACATATATACATACATACATGCACACACACACACACACACACACACATTCTAAGTTAGTAACTACAGAAGAATCTGCTTGGCCTGTAGACATCATGAGTTTGAACTCCTCCATGGGCATATACATATATGTATTTTGAGGATCAGGGAATTTTTAACAATCTGAAAAGCTAACAGATGAACCTAGAAACATATCTTAACTAGATATCATGAATACATAGAATGTATGTAGAAATAATATATCTGACACAAAAGATACACAAACCTATTGTGTGTGTATGTTTTTAATAGTCTCATATGGTCCAAGTTGACCTTGAACTTATTAGGTAGCTGAGGATAACCTTGAACTTCAGATCCTCCTGCCTCTGCCCTCTGAGTGTTAAGTGTGTCCACCTTACTCTGCCAACTAAGCTACACCCCCAGCCACACAAATCTATTGTGAACAGTTCAATTTATCAGAACTTAGGCACACAAGCATGGGTGCACATGGTGCTGTTTGAAGTGAAGACCAATGCAACCGATCTAAAGATGAATGGTCAGTCCTAGCTATAGGGGACTAGCTGTATGAAGAGTGTTTAGACACCTGAGGCCTCAAAACTGAAGTAAGTCATAATTACACAAAATGAGCCATAATATTACAGTACTGAAATCTATATAACCATACTACGGTGATCATCTCAGAGCTTTCTCTCCTGTGCTCCTGTGGTAACCTCAAGCGTTGTGAGTAGCTGCTTAAAATGTCACTTGACGCCGGGCATTGGTGGCGCATGCTTTAATCCCAGCACTTGGGAGGCAGAAGCAGGCGGATCTCTGTGAGTTCGAGGCCAGCCTGGTCTCCAGAGCGAGTGCCAGGGTAGGTTCCAAAGCTACACAGAGAAACCCTATCTCGGAAAACAAAACAAAACAAAAAAGTCACTTGACACTAATTGTCTTCATCTGAGCTGGTCATTCTTCCAGAAAATCTAACATCATGTTACACGGTAATCTTTCATAGTTGGTGTATATTGGGCACCATAAAGAGTATACAGCAAAAGGAAATTTAGGTACCAGGATGCTGTGAGATACCCCCTTCTCTGATGAGTCACACTCAGGCCCCAAGTCCCTACCTCCCTCCCCATCTCTGCAATGGTTCATTTCTTTCATATCCCCTCTTTTCTCAGGCTGTGGCCACCCTGGCATATCAAGCTATTTCCAAAGTGAGGTTCAAGACTTGGTGCTGACCCTGTTGGGCCCCAGTCAGGAAGATGAGGCTCCTTCGAAGACGCCACATGTCCCTGCGTCTAGCCATGATCGGCAGTGCCTTCATGCTCTTCCTCTTCATCCGGCAAAAGGATGTAAGCAAAAGGGAGCCAGCCATGGAGAAACCGTGGCTGAAGTCCCTGGTGGGCCAGAAGGACCACGTCCTGGACCTCATGCTAGGTGCCGTAAACAACATTAGAGATGTCATGCCCAAGCTGCAGATCAGGGCTCCGGACCCCCAGCAGACTCTGGTCTCCACAAACCGCTCCTGCCTTCCAGGGTTCTATACCCCTGCTGAGTTGAAGCCTTTCTGGGAACGGCCACCTCAGGACCCCAGCAGCCCCGGGGCAGATGGAAAAGCATTTCAGAAGAAAGAATGGACCCCTCTAGAGACCCAGGAAAAGGATGAGGGCTATAAGAAACACTGCTTCAATGCCTTTGCCAGTGACCGCATCTCTTTGCAGAGGTCCCTGGGGCCAGACACCCGACCCCCAGAGTAAGTAGCATCCAGAACTCTCAGAGGAGATCAGAGCTTTCCCAGAACTGTGGCTAGGAGGGCTGTGGTCACCAGCCAGTTGTCATGAAGCAAGCTGAAGGGGATTTGAGAATAGACAGGGATTTTTTCTCTTTTTTTGGCCAATTGCCCTGATCCTAGGGGCTAGAGTTCAGGAGTACTATGGTCTGGCAGAGGCCCATAGGGACAGGTGAGACTAAAACAGAGTTGTGGAGGGAACAGGATATAAAAGAAGGAACCCAGGCCTATCAACCAGGATCTGGCACAGGGAACTGGGAGGGCTGGGACAAAGCTGTGGCTTCTGCAGCCCTCAGATGCTGAACCCGCCCCTGCCATCTGGGCCTCTGATGCTAATCAGAGAGAGATGTTGACTGACTGCTGCTGTGGTGGCCCAGAAGGTTCCCCACACCACTGGGTTCCCTCTAGTGAAGGCCACAGGCCCAAAAAGTCATTCCAGCTTCAAGAGGAAGTGTGCTTTGGAACTCTTAGGACCTTTTCCTAAAATTGAATAACAGCAGTCCTCAACTGAACATTTGCCTTTAATGACTCAGCCCTCTGGGCCCTCTGGACAGTCACACCTTATGCAGCGTCCAAGGTACAGAGTGAGTCAGCTGCGGGAGCACCTGGCCTTCAAGCAGGGTGCCACTGTGGGAGGAGTGGGGTACCTGAGCATCGCCTTAGGGCACTGAGCCAGCTCAGGAGTGGCTTTGGAGGGGGCTGGCTAGTAGTGCATGGAGGGTAGAAGGAAGGAGCCACAGAGTAAGAGCAGTTATTCCCAAGTACAACAGGGAAGGGAGACTGGTGTGTGGAGGGGGGGGTTGGGGGGGTTAGTGAGCTCTAGACAGATCTCTTTCCCATCCTGGAACGCCTCCCCTCCCCAACCCCAGGACTTAGAGAGCTGTGTCCATGCTTCCATTGTTGCAGGTGTGTTGACCAGAGATTCCGGCGTTGTCCCCCACTGCCCGCCACCAGCGTGATCATTGTGTTCCACAATGAAGCCTGGTCCACCCTGCTGCGCACAGTATACAGCGTCCTGCACACTAGCCCTGCCATCCTGCTGAAGGAGGTCATCCTAGTGGATGATGCCAGTACAGAGGGTGAGGCTGGCAGGTCTGGGGAGGGGTGGGGCCCAGGGGCTCTCAGAGGAGGGCCGGCCAGGTCAGGCCTGCTGCTTCACACCTGTCACAAAGGCAGGGAGCAGAAAGAAGGCGGGTGAAGACCCTCTGTCCTTTCCAAAGTCCTTCCACAATCATCCCAAAAAAGCATGGCAATCCACTACTCCTTAGACTAGTTTCTGTATTAGTTAGGTTTTCTGTTGCTGTGATAAAAGCTCATGACCAAAAGCATCTTGGAAAGGAAAGGGTTTATTTCAGGTTATAGTTGTCATCCAGCATGAAGGGAAGTCAGGACAAGAACTCAAGGCAGGAACCTAAAGGAAGGAATACTACAAACTGGTTTGCTTTGCATAGCTTACTCAGCCTGCTTATATAACCCAGGACCCCCTGACCAGGAGTAGCACCGCCCACAGTGACCTGGGCCCTCCCACATAATTAAGAAACTGTCCCATCGGCTTTGGACTACAGGCCCGTCCTATGGAGGCCTTTTCTCAATCGTCAATCTTTCTAGTGTGTGTCAAGTTGAAAAAAAAAAAGAAAGAAAGAAATGGGGGGGGAGGAAGGAAGAGAGGAAGGAAGGAAGGAAGGAAGAAAAAGACCAACCAAGGCAGTACCTTTTTATAGCAGCTAGCAGGCCTGTGTTCCTAAATATATTTATATTTAAATTATATGTATTATATGTGTCCTGTGTGCATGTGTGGGTGTGTGCGTGTGCACACAGGTGCCCAAGGAAGCCAGGGGATCCCCTGGGGATTGAGTTAAAGGTGGTTCTGAGCAACCTGATGTGGGTGCTGGGATCAGAACTAAGGTCCACTAGAGGAGCAGGATGTGGTTTTAAACACTGAGCCATCTCTCCAGACCGCATTCCTGTGTTCTCTCTGGTCACCTCCTGTTTGCCCTGGGCTCTCATTCTTTTGTTTTGTTCTGTTTTTCCTTCTGTGTGAAAGTGTCTTGCCTGCACGTATGTCTGTGTACCATGTGTATACCTGATGCCCTTGGAGGCCAAAGGAACCCCTGGAACTGGAGTTACAGAGGATCGTGAGTCTCTATGTGGGTGCTGGGAATCAGACCCATGTCCTCTGTAAGAGCATCCAGAATTCTTAACCACTGGGTCATCTCTCCAGCACCCCCCCACACACACACACACTCCCTCTTAAGGCCACATCTATCATCTCTAAGTTCTCACCTAAGAACCCTGGCTGGTCCCCTTCATTTTCTGGCTCCTGCTTTGAGAATGTGTGCTGTCCTCCCTGACACAATGCTATTCACTGCCACGTCTCTACATATACTCCTAGGGGATGTGCATGCTCTAGCACCCCTCCCCAAAGCTCTCAGACTCTGGGAAGACTCCAGGAGCTGCTGTTCAGTGGGGAACAGAAGAACCATGGGGTCAGCAATCTCTTCATGTCTGTCCACACAGGATAAAATTTCCCACCTTTGACTGTTTGATCAGATTAACTGGCTTTTGTTACACATACAAAAGGGCTGTGTCTCTAAAGGACAGTGTACCTGCTCTCTGTCCTCCTATGCAGGTGCCCCACAGCAGCGCTGTGACCATGATTATATGGGCATTTGATACTTGGGGGGAGGAGAACCTGTCCTAGGCTGGGGGACTTTTAATTTCTTGCTATGAATCAGAAGCAGAGCCCATACTTCACCCCTTACTGCCCTCTCTTCTTGAAACTTATTTTATTAATTGGTTTTTTTGAGACGGGGTTTCTCTGTGTAGCTCTGCCTGTCCTGGAACTCTGTAGATCAGGCTGGCCTCAAACTCACAGAGTTCCTCCTCCCTCTGCCTTCCAAGTGCTGGGATTACAGGCCTGTACCACCACTGCTTAATTTATTTAGTTGAAAAGAAGAAAATTATTTTAGATTTTTACATTTTTTATGTATATGATTGCTTGCCTGCATGTATATAAGCACATCATGTGTATGCCTGGTGCCTGCAGAGGCCAGAAAAGGGCATTGGATCCCCTGGAACTGGAGTGAAGGATGGTTGTGAGCCGATATAGGTACTGGAAACCGAACCCAGCCAGTGCTCTTAACTGTTGACCTATCTCTCCAATACCTTTGTGGGTTTTTTTCTTATTTTTTTAATGATTCCTTATTTCTTATGTGCATCAGTGTTCTGCCTGCATTGTGTATACGTGCGAGGGTGTTATATCCCCTGAAACTGGAGTTACAGACAGTTGTGAGTTGCCATGTGGGTTCTGGGAATTGAACCTGGGTCCTCTGGAAGAGCAGCCAGCATCTTAACCTCTGAACCATCTTTCCAGCCCTTGTGTTTTTTCTTTAAAATAAGATCTTATTTGTACATATGTATATGTAAATGTGTCTGTGTGCACATGAGTGTAGTGCCCACAGAGGCAAGAAGAGGTCGGCTCACAACCACCTGGTCAAACAGGTGGTTGTGAGCCACGTAAAGTGGGTGTTGGGAACCAAATCCGGGTCCCCTGAAGAGCAGCAAGGGCTCTTAAGCACTGTGCCATCTCTCCAACCCCTATGAAATGATTTTAGATAATAGTGAGTTCTATGAAGCAGTTCCACTAAGAGAGGAAAAGGAACAGTGCTAGATACTAAGTCAGGGAACTCCTTCAGCTGAGATACCAGGGAAGGCTACTCAGGCTGTCCTGCACAAAAACAACAGCCAGCTCTCTCCAAGGGCTTGGTGTGCTGGTGAGAAAGCAGGCTGGTGAGACTGAAAGGAAGTGAGCAAGGCGAAGTGAGCAAGCACGAATACAAAAGAAGTGAATGAGGGTGAGGCACAAGGCCTGTGTAAGCAGTTGCAAGTGAGTGTGCTCTTCTGTGAGTGGTGCAGAGTGCAAGAGGTGCTGGCACCACCGTTTTTTTGTTTGTTTGTTTGTTTGTTTGTTTGTTTGTTTTTCTTGGGTTTTTTTTTGCTTGACTTTTCTTTTTAATCTATAAATTTAATATTTTCTTTTAAATATATGAACTGTTCTCTCATGTGTGTGTATGATGCTGAGACTCAAATCTAGGACCCTGTGTACAATAGGCAAGCCTCCTGCCTCTCCATCTTAACCATGTTTTCCTTTCTCTTCTTAAAAAAAGATTTCTTTTAGCCAGGCATGAAGGCATTTCCCTATAATCCAGCATTTGGGATTTAGTCTATGAATTTGAGGCCAGCCTGGTCTGCATAACAAATTTCAGGCAAGCCAAGGCTACATAGCTTTTGACTTCTAGGACAGCCAGGGCTAGAATAAATAAGCTCTGTCTAAAAAAAATATTATTATTTGGGTGTGCATGTGCATGCGTGTGTTTGAGTACAGGCACACATGTCATGGTACATGTGTGGAGGTCAGAGGACAACTTTTGGGCACTTCTCTCCTCTGACTCTCCTGCCTCTGCCTTCCATCTCACTGTAGGAGGTCTGGGATTACAGATACATGCTTCCGCACATGACTGGTTCTGGAGATGGAATTCATGTCATCAGCACTGTGCCTGTACCCTCGGAGCCATCCTACTGGCCCCATTTTGCCATTTTTTAAGTGCATAGCCCTTTGGCACTAAATCTACCCAAATTGTTGTGCAACCATCGCCATTTCCATTTGCAGACCTATTTCATCTTCTCATATTGCAACTCTGTGCCCATTAAAACCACAGTTGCCATCTGCCCCAGTGCCTGGTAGCCTCCGTTCTACCTTCTGTCTGCTGAGTTTGACCACTCTAGGTACCTCAAATAGGGGAAACCATTTGTCTTTTGGAGACTGGCTTCTTTCACATTCCATAGTATCACCAAGATCTGTCTGTGGAACATACATCAGAATTCCCTTTCTTTTTCAGGCTGAATAATATTCCCTGGTGTAGCTACACCTCATTTTGCATATGCATTCATATGTTGGTGGACATTTAGATGGGTTTACCAGTGGCTTTATGACCAATCCTGCTATGAGCAGGTATACAAATATCTGTTTCAGTCCCTGTTTTGAAATCTTTTTTATCTGTACCCAGAAGTGAAATTGCTAGATTGTATTATGATAATTCTGGGGTGGATTATTTTTTATTAATTGTTATTTGGTTGGATTTTTTTTTTTTGTTCCAGTGCTGGAAACTGAACCCAGGGCTTTGCACTTGTGGGAGAGTTAGTTCTTTCCTTCCACTCTGTGTTCCAGTAATTCAACTCAGGTTGTTGGGTTCCTAGCAAGCACCTTCACTCACTAAGTCATCTCACTGGTCCTAGATTTGTTTCTAATGCACCTTTGAAACATTGTTAGTAAAAATTATCTAATTGTAGTGAGCTAAAACAGAAGAATTGTGAGTTTGAGTACTGCCTGAACCATATAGTAACACCACATCTTAAAAACAAACAAAGCATTGGTAGCACATGCCTTTAATCCCAGCATTTGGGAGGCAGAGGCAGGCAGATCTCTTGTGAGTTCGAGGACAGCCTGGTCTACAAAGCTAGACAGAGAAACGCTATCTCAAACAAAACAAAACAAAAAACCAAATAACAACAAAAAATACTCACAAAAATGACCTGATTTATAGTTCTAAGAGATGAGGTACAAGAGGAAGCCAAGAATATAATTCAGTTAGTTGAGTGTTTGCTTAGCATGTACAGGGTCCTGGGTATAAGCCACTGAGCAGCATTAACCAAGCATCATGGCGCATGCCTGTAATCCCAAAGTGTGGAAGTCAGATACAGGAGGATCAGAAATTCAAGGTCATCCTCAAGTACACAAAGAGTGTGAGACCAGGGACAGGAATGATGCCAAGGCTGGTAAGATAACACAACATTGAAGAGCACTGGCTGCTCTTTCAGAGGACCCAATTCGGTTCCCAGCACCCACCTGGAGGGTCACAACTCTCCAATCCTAGGGATCCAACATCTTCTGGTCTCCATGGGCAATATATCTGTCTCCTGAGTGCTGGGATTAATGGTGTATGCCACCACCACCCAGCAAGGAAACTGCAGTTTAAAGTGGCTTCCTTATCTAAAACATTTTGGGAGAGTATGGAGTAGTGACTGAGAGAGTGGTTGACTGTGACAGCTGAGGTGACAGTAGGAATGGGGTAAGAACTGATCAGCTTTCTGTTGAGTTGACAGCAGAGCTTTAAGGAAAGGAAGGGGCAGGGAGAGCCCAGCTTGGCTCCAGGGTGGATCAGCTAAAGGGATGCTGGTGGGGAAGTCACCAGATGAGGCTGGGGAGGGGCAGACTTGCTGTGAGGAGCAGAGTTCTGCAAGGCTGGAGGAAAGCCTTAGAGCTGTCACTCACAGAAGCATTGTGTGCCATGGGCTGCATGGGGTGTAGGAAAGGGGTTTACTGCAGTCTTGTGGACTCTCATCCTGAGGAGTGGTGGCAGACTATGGAACCTAAATCACAAACTGTCATGTGAGGAACATGAGAGCATATGCTGGTCCTCCTGTCTCTAGGCTCAGCTGTGCTATACTCTGCCCTAGGTCCTATGTCCAATAATCTCAAAGGTGGTGCAGACAGTGGATGACGTGGGAGAGTTGTCTGACTCTCCTGCAAAGACCTGAGGCCTAGAACCAAGAGCCCCTAGTCTGACCCCCTGAGACTGAAAGGAAGGCGTGGGAGAGCTCTAGAGCACAAGGTCCTGGAAGTCACAGCTCAGTACTTCTCACTGTCTTACCACACAACCCACTTCCTGTGATGCTTGCATGCCGTTATCTCCACCATAAGATTCCGGTGAGCAGAACTGATCAGGGTCTCTGGGAGTCAAGCTGCTGAGAAGATGACACTCCAGCTGGGCTCCTCTTTCCTGTCAGCAACACCTGGCTGGGGCCAGGCTGGTGCTCACACATCCAGTGGTAGTGGCAGATCCTCCGGGCACAGGCCAGTGTCCCACCCCTGGACAGTGCATTGCAGACACTAAGTCACTGCTGGGCTGAAGCCACCACATGAGGCTAAATGGGACAGCCAGGTCCTGGCACCAAAGACAATAGGCTCCATTTCTGGAGCAAGACAAGCCCTCCTTCTCAGGTGACTTCCTGGAGGGTTTCATTCCCAGGGCAGTGGGTCAGAAACACTGGCCTACCAGAAGGGCTGAAAAAGAAAAAATGAGTTCAAGTTGCAAAGTATAGTTACTTTCCCTGGGGCTCTGCTCTCCCTGGCGGCTTGACCAAGTCCCTTTATTCTCTCTCCTCCAGCAAGACCATAAGTAACTAAGGGGACCAAGAAATACCCCCACCCCCAAGAAACTCCCATCCGTTAAGTCCTGGTAGGTGGCCTCGCAGTTCTTGGAGGAGACAAGTCTTCACACAGAAGCTGCTTAGGACCCTGTCACTGCCATCATGTTGGCTGGGGTGACCTGGGCTCCAATTCTTGACTTTCCATCTGTTAACCTGAGGTTGACAGACATGAAGTCACCTGCTTTAATGACTGGCACATAGTAGGTGTTCAAGTATTTGGGTGGTATAGTGTGTGTGTGTGTGTGTGTGTGTGTGTGTGTGTGTGTGTGTTTGATATCAGTGACAGCACAATGAGTTGTTTTCAGGACCTGTGATTTATAAGGCATGGTGGCCAGAGCAAGGCCCAGTGTGAGCTCACAACTGGAAGGGAAAGGACACATACAATTGTCACAGCTGTCCTCCACTGCTAAAGCTACAAGCAACTCCATTTTACAGCTATGAACAGAAGAGGGGGCTGGAGAGATGGCTCAGGAGTTAAAAGCATGAGCGTCTCTTCCAGAGTCCTGTGTAGCTGGACAGCTCAACCCTGCCTCTAACTCCAGGTCCAGGGGACCTGACATCCTCTGGGCCCTGCAACACTGCACTCACACCAGCAGACATACGCACATACGCATAATTTAAAAATAGAATTTTTTTTGTTGTTGTTAATGTCTCTAAAATAGAACAGTAAGCCAGATGTAGTGGTGCACACATTTACTCTCAGCACTCGGGAGGCAGAGGCAGGCAGATGCAGGTAGATCTCTGTGAGTTCAAGGCCAGCCTGGTCTGTGGTGCTGAAGAGGAGTCTATGCTAGGCAGGTGTCCTGCCACTGATCCATACCCACAGTCCCTTTTATATTTTGTGTACTTACCTTGTTTTACTCTTCTTAAGGAGTTCCATTTACAGAGGAGAAAATCAAAGATTAGGCTTGTAGGGGGCAGTGTAGCTTAGTGGTGCAGCACTTGCATGATACAAGGTCATGGGTTCAATTCCCAGCCCCTCACAGAGGGTAGATGGCCACAGGCACAGGACCCTGATGACACACATGTCCTCTAAAGGACCCAGCCACAGGCAGGGCTTCCTCCCTGCATGTCTCCCCTCTCTGCCTTTGCCTATGTAATGGCTCTGCGCAGGTGTGTGGGAAGGTTGACATTCAGACCTGCTGGAGACCTGGGAGTACCTGGGCTTGGTGCCCACAGGGGATTGGTGAGGTACTGGTAACAGTGGCCTTGTCCCTTCCAGAATACCTGAAGGAGAGGCTGGAGCAGTACGTACAACAGCTGCAGATCGTGAGGGTAGTGCGACAGCAGGAGCGGAAGGGACTCATTACAGCCCGGCTGCTGGGGGCGAGTGTGGCGCAGGCCGAGGTGCTCACGTTCCTGGACGCCCACTGTGAGTAGGAGATGCCCCTGGTGGAGGTCTAGATACCTGCCCTTCACCACTGGAGGATGAGGAAGGGCCCAGACCCACCTGTTCAGAAGTAAAGAGACTTGGAGCTCTTTCCCCATTCCTCCCCTCACGCTGATTCCAGGCATGGTTCCTGAGAGAGCACAGCCATGAGGCTTGGTGACTCAGAACAGCTGGCAGTGCACTCGGATGGCATTTACCCTTCCCTTACGTGTGCCCTGAAAAGAACCCCTGTCCCTACTAGGAACACTCTTGCATGTGGAGTTAAATAGGCCTCCCCCGTGACTTTTTCTGAAAGAACAATAGAAACAGGAAAACTCTAGACTGTCATCAGGAACCCTGGTTCCCATCTGACTCTGCCACTAACTAAGCCTCAGTTCCCTTGCTCACCTAACAAAACATCATTAATATAAAGTAAAAATGTGACTCAAAATATGGCTCAGAGTTTAAAAACATTTGTTCTTGCAGAGGACCAGGGTTTGATCCCCAGCACCCACATAGCTGCTCACAACCATCCGTAACTCCAATTCTAGGGGATTCAATCCCTTTTGCTGACCTCTGCAGGCACAAGGCACACACAAGGTACATAGCTATACAAGCAGACAAAACACTCACATGCATAAAGCAAAATAAATAAATCTGAAACAATAAAGAAATGTAGAACTTATGTTCATTTACAGTCCCAAAACTAGCCGGGCAGTGGTGGCACATGCCTTTAATCCCAGCACTCAGGAGGCAGAGGCAGAGGCAGGTGGATCTCTATGAGTTTGAGGCCAGCCTGGTCTACAAAGCTATACAGAGATATCCTGTCTTGAAAAATCAAGAGAGACAGAGAAAGAAAGAAAGAAAGAGAGAGAGAGAGAGAGAGAGAGAGAGAGAGAGAGAGCAAACCCTAAAACATCTAGGCATTGTGACAGTGCCTGTTATCTCAGCATTTTGGTGGCAGAGGCAGGGGGATCACAGCAAGTTTGAAGCCACCCCCAGCCCCTACCTACCCCACTCCCCACCCCCCACCCCCACTCAGTCTAGTGTATAGCAAGTTCTAGCCAGTGGAGACTACATAACAAAGCAAGCAAGAAAGAAGCCCCCGAAGCCTGGGAGGAGAATGATTCTACAGTTAGAGCTGGGAGTTCACATGCACTTCTCTGAAGGACAGAGAGCCAAAGCCCACACTCAGGTGGGGGCTGGAAACCCTGAAGATACCTCGTCCAGGTCCATGGTGGTTTGCATCTGATTTATGCTGACCAGGTTGCTTCCCCCAAACCTACCCCTCCCAAAGCTTCAGAGATGCTCTGTGTCCCCGTGCACCCCTCCCTATCCTCCGGGGCTCCTCTGAGGGTAGAGGGTTCAGCTGCAGCTAGGCCCCTGACCTCCACTTTCTTGTCTGGGTCTGCAGGTGAGTGCTTCCATGGCTGGCTGGAACCCCTCCTGGCTCGAATTGCTGAGGATAAGACAGCGGTGGTGAGCCCAGACATTGTCACCATCGACCTTAACACTTTCCAGTTCTCCAAACCTGTACAGAAAGGCAAAGCCCACAGCCGTGGCAACTTTGACTGGAGCCTGACCTTCGGCTGGGAGATGCTCCCTGCACATGAGAAGCAGAGACGCAAGGATGAAACCTACCCCATCAAGTAAGGACTGCACCCTGGGGAGCCCCCACCCTGGTCTCCACCCACTCAGCTCCGGGTACCACTTCACACCAACATCTGCTAGGTGCTTTATCAAGCCACACCCACTGTGAGGTAGGTCCTTCGGTTAGCCTGTTTTACCCAAGGCAGTGAGCAGGGAGCAGGTAACATTACCTCAGAAGCCCAAGGCAGTAAGCTCAGATCCTGCAGCTAGCACAGGGTAGGCAAGGACCTGTGTGACCCAGCATGGACCATACCGCCTCACGCCATGATAGCTTGCTCCTGTACATCTTCACCTCACTTCTTGTTCCCTATACCTAGAAGACCAGGACCTCTGCTTGCAGAGTAGGTGGGAGATGCTGTGTGGAGGTCATTGTTGAATAACCATTGTAATAGGTAGTTGTGGCATGGGCTCCCAGACTTGGAAAAGGAAAACAGGTGCTGAGCCTGATGTTGCATGCTTGCACTCTGTCTTAGGGTTGCTATTGCTGTGATAAAACACCATATCTAAAAGCAAGGTGGGGAGGAAAGGGTTTTTGTGGCTTATGCTTCTACATCGTAGTCCATCATCAAAGGAAGCCAGGGCAGGAACTCAAACAGGGCAGGATCCTGGAAGCAGGAGCTGATGCAGAGGCTATGAAGGGGAGCTGCTTACTGGCTTGCTTCACGTGGATTGCTCAACCTGCTTTCTTCCTCTTTTTTTTTTTTTTTTTTGGCTTTTCCAGACAAGGGTTTCTCTGTATTGCTTTGGAACCTATCCTGGAACTCTCTCTGTAGACCAGGCTGGCCCCAAACTCACAGAGATCTGCCTGCCTCTGCCTCCTGAGTGCTGGGATTAAAGGCATACGCCACCAATGCCTGGCTTCAACCTGCTTTCTTATAGAACCTGGGACCACCAGCCCAAGGGATGGCACCACAATGTGCTGTGCCCTCCCCCCTCAATCACTGATTTTAAAAATGCCCTACAGGCTTACCTGCAGTCTGATGTTATGGAAGTACTTTCTCAATTGTGGCTTCCTCCTCTCAGATGACGTTAGCTGTGTCAAGCTAAAGCTATCCAACACATAATCCTAGCCTCTCAGGAAGCTGAGACAAGAGGACCACAAATTCAAAGACTGTCTGGGTTACAGTGTGAGTTTGCTGGGAAATTCAGTGAGACCTTGTCTTAAAATGTTAAGACGTGTCACTGCCCAGGGGTAGAGCACTTCCCATCATATGCAAAGGCCTAGGGTCAGTCTAGGGCAGGGCAGGGTAGGGTGAGGGAAAATGAGCAAACACAGGCTATTCGGGCCAGTTTGAAGCTCGTTACAGTTGCCCTGTACTTTCCATGAAAAGACACATCCTAATAGTCTGACTTTGCCACCCACCTACATATAGTCTATTGGTGTTCTTTTATTTTTTTTAGGGAGGGAGAGGGGTTAGGTTTTGGGTTTTCTACAATTGTTTCAAAATGTGAAAACTATACTAGGCCTGATAGTGCACATCTGAAACCCCACCTTTGGAAGGGAAAACAATATCAGAAGTTCAAGTTATCCTTACTAACCAGTTCCAGGACAGCCTTGAAGAGACCCTATCAAAAAAAAAAAAAAAGTAGAAACCATTCTTTACCATGGAGTAGTGATTTTCAACCTTCCTAACGCCGTGACACTTTAATACAGTTCCTCATGTTGTGGTGACCCCCAACCATAAAATTATGTTATTGCTACTTCATAACTGTAATTTTGGTGCTGTTATGAACCATAATGTAAATATCTGATATGTGATCCCCCCAAAGGGGTGGCGACCCACAGGTTGAGAACCACAGCCATAGTGTCCTCTGGAAACAAGCAGTCAGGCTACATAACCAACATGCTCAAAGCTGGTGGAGGCTTGCCTCTCTTGTTCCCTGCCTGCCGGAACCTCTACAGATTACGG